AGCAGGGTCCCTTACAAGTTGGTTTCCGGATCCTTTCCACATGATTTTCCTTTCCAGTATGACAGATTGTTTCTGCCTTTTCTCTTACACATTTCCTAACCCAGGCCTGGAATCAGCCTTTTTTTTAAGGAACCCTGGTTTTCTTTAGTGGGAAATAGTATATTTGACAATTGCAAATCAGGGATTAGAAGTACTCATTGCTACACAGACACACGGAAATAAGCATTCAAAAACTAAGAAAGTGGCCAACTTAATCATAGGGACAAGTCTGGAGTTGAATATTATATACCAGAATTTAATCAGGAAAATTGAACCAGAACAGAAGATAAAAGTACATGAGACTGATAGGTTCATGCACCTACCATTTGAACAGAATCCTAACCTGTTTCCTGGCTTTAAGCAAAGTTCCTTGGCATTTCTTTGATTTAAGTTAAAACTGGTTTTCTTAGTAGTAATGAGTGAACTCACCATTGAAAGTAGTTAGATTATGTAAGAAATTGTGTGATCAATACAATGTGGGTGGGAAAGGAATGGAAGACAATTGTAGACACCAGAGATAGTGTATGACTGTAGTAGGATATGTAGCCCCAGCTAGGTGCTACTTTATAGGATGTGTAAAGTTAGACTTGTGTTCATGGAAATGTGTGTGTCACCTGTGTTTGCTATGAGGGTATTTGGATTGATTAGGGTCTTTGGTGATTCAATAAAATGTGGGGGGAAAACAGTATAGAAAGCAAACATAGATACCAGAGACAGTGTGGGAGGAGAGTGGGAGATGGCAGAGGGTAAGAGATAGGGAATCAAGGATGGGGGGGAGCAAAACATATAGAAAACAAGAAATGGAAGATCATTTGCTGGCAATAACATGTTTGTTGATGTGCTTGATTGAGACAATATACAGTGTATTCTGGATGGAAAATCTCATTTTGTATGCTGTAATGATGTACAGTGAATGAATGCAAATAAATAAATTGAAAAAAAAAAGTACTCATTGCTACTGGGCCATTGCTTTTAGACCTTTTCAATGAATGGTGGTAGGTTTTTTGTTTGTTCGTTTGTCCAGAGGGTGTGTGCACTTGCCAGAGAATGAGACAGAGAAAGGAGAAAGCACTCCCCACACCCCCATAAGGAATGGTCATAGTACAGTCTTTTCTCCATCTCTCTCTCTCCTTTTGGGATTTTTTTGGGCACACATACACACATGACAAGTGTGTTTCTGAAGCTACTAGATCTAGTATTCATCTGTGCAGTTGGCCAGGTGGGATCTGGCTGCCTTAACCACCTTCCCCAACCTTGGAGGCAGCCTGGATTTTTTTTTTTTTTTAAGTAAAATATATCATGAGCTTAAATTAAAATGTTCAATTCAAATACGATGTAACAAGGTTTCTTTTCTTTCTTTCTTTGACCTGGTCATGGTACTGTGCACTGATTGATAGTGGTATTTAGCAGGCTGAAGCCAAGTGGGAAGCCCAAGTAAATTTCCTGGCCCACCCTAGAAGAAAGCTGGGTTAGTGATGTGTGCTTGTTGTCCTAGCTACTCAGCAAGCTGAAGCAGGAGAATTGTGTCATGGTGAGGCTCTGTTAAAAATGATTACAGGGCCGGGACCAGCAGTTAGTGTAATGGCTATGTCACTGGACTCCCACGTAGTCGACCGCGGTTTGCGGCCCGGACCCGGTAGCTTAAAACTCACACCGGGCGCGTGTGCGTGCATGCCCAAGATCCCAAGGAGAAGGGACTGCGGCATGGCCATGCCCCCTGGGGGGTGATATCTCGCTTTCTGTCTCTCTGTCTCTCTCTGTTTGGCGCGTGCACATGCCCTATAGCATAAACCACTCAAAAAAAAAATGATTATGGGGCCACCTCTGTAGAGCCATGGTTAATTGTTGGCATTGTGAGCAGAATCCCACATGGCAAACTATGGTTCAAATCTTAGCTTCAGGGACTTGAAAAACAGACCAGGCTCCTGTATGTGCTTGCTCAAAATCCTTATGCACAGGAGAAATGGAATAAAAAGTGTAGGGGGATGACCATACCTGACTGAATGTACTTCTCTCTCTGGTGAGCACATATGCTCTTTGGTAATTAAAAATAAAAAGAGAAAAAGAAGACTACAGATTATTATATAACTTCATAGACCTTACATCTATATCTTTTCCCCCGAAGCCACAAACCTCACTTCCAGTGACACTAGCATAATTACTTATTTGACGTACCTATAATTCACACAGTACTTTAAGAATAACTATATTGGGGACCAGCAGTTGGTGTAATGGCTATGTCACTGGACTACCATGTAGTCGACCGCAGTTCAAATCCTGGACCCAGTGGTTTAAACTCATGCCCAAGATCCTGAGAGAATGGAGGAGAAGGGATTGCAGTGTGGTCATTCCCCCCTGGGGGGGTGATTTTTCTCTTTCTGTCTCACTCCGTCTTGCTGGCGAGTGTACACGTCTCATAGCAAAGAAACCTCTCAGGAAAAAAAAAAACTATATCAGCACTAAAGAATATAGCTTGTTTTTTTTATTTTGGCCATTTCTGTTTTTTAAATTATATCCTATTAGAGACATATAGTCAAATTATTCTGGTTTTTTTTTTTTTAATATTTATTTTAATTTGACCAGAGAGAGAGGAAAAGTGAGAAAACAAGCCACCAGGTCTGGGACTCGAACTACAGTCGGCCATGTGGGAGTCCAGCACCCTTAGCCACCAAGTCACCTTCCTGTTACCTTTTTATTTTTTTAAAGAATTATTTAATTAATTTATTTTAATTTGACCAGTTACAAAGTGAAAAAAGAGAGGGAACATGAGAAAGCAACCTGCTAGGTCTGAGACTTGAACCATCGTCAGCCATGTGGGAGTCCAGTGTCCTTAACCACCATGCCACCTGCCAGCCCCACCTTTTAATTTTTTAATGTATGGCTTATTCTTCATTAAAAAAATAAATAAAAACATGGGACCAGCTGATGGTGTAATGGTTACATTGCTGGACTTGCACATACTTGACCACATTTTGAGTTCCGGACCTGGCATCTTAAAATTTATGCCAGGCCTATGTGCATGTGTGCCCAAATCCCAAGAGCAGAATGGAAGAAAAGTGATTGCAGCGTGGCCATCCACCCTAGGAGGTGATTTTTTGCTTTCTGTCTCTCTGGTGAGCACACACGCCCTATACCAAAAATCTCTCTTAATAAATAAATAAATAAATAGATAGATAGATAGTATAGGGTCTGACTTGGTGGTGAAGGTGCTAGACTCCCACATGACTGACCACAGTTTGAGTTCTGGACCTGGCAACTTGCTTTCTCAATTTCCCTCTCACTCTGTCCCTCTCTGATCAAATTAAAATCAATCAATAAATAAAGTCAAATAAAATTTTTTTTAATTGAAAAATAAATATATAAAACGACACACGTATTTGTATTACCCTCTTTCTTGACTAACTGGGAGCATACTATATTCTCTATCTTTCTATTACATTTAAAGTTTTATCTATGGGGCTGGCAGGTAGCATGGTGGTTAAGGGTGCTGGACTCCCTGGTCAAACCCATTGTAACAAAATGCCAAGATTTCATCCTTGAAGTCTGAATAATGAATTACTTTGGTCTGCAGAAATATCCTGTTAGTAGAGTTTAGGAAATTCATTTTTTTTTTTTTTGAGAGGTTTGTTTTTGCTATAGGGCGCATGCGGTCGCCAGACAGACAGAGACAGAGAAACAGAAAGCGAGAAATCACCCCCCGGGGGGATTGCCACACCACAATCCCTTCTCCTCTGTTCTCCTCTTGGGATCTTTGGCATGCACGCACACACACGCAGCATGAGTTTTAAGCCACCGGATCCAGGCCGCGAACCGCGGTCGACTACATGGGAGTCCAGTGACATAGCCATTACGCTAACTGCTGGTCCCAATAAAAATATTAAAAAAAAAATTACCTATTTTGCATGAATCATATGGCATTTATGGATAATTATATTTGTTGGAGCCTTTGTAGCTAATGGTGGAAATAGCGGTGGAAGAGGATTAGCAGCTATTAAGCCAGCAGGTGGCGTGGTGGTTAAGGTGCTGGACATGGTGGCTTGCTTTCTCTCTGTTTCTCTGTGTCTCTCTATGGTCACATTAGAATAAATGAATAAAATTTTAAAAAAAAGAATGTATTTTAAGGAACCAGCAGTTAGCATAATGGCTATGTCGCTGGACTCTCATGTAGTCCACCGTGGTTCAAGTCCTGGGCCCAGTGGCTTAAACTCACACTGGGCGGGTGTGCATGCGTGCCCAAGATCCTGAGAGGAGAATGGAGGAGAAGGGATTGCGCCATGGCCATTCCTCCTGGGGGTTGATTTCTCGCTTTCTGTCTCTGTCTTTCTGGCAAGCGCACGCACCCTGTATTGAAAACCTCTCCCCCCCAAAAAAAAGAATGCATTGTAAGTACCTTTCCTACCATGAGAATGTCAGTCTTCAACAGTCTAGTACTATAGTTGGGGTTCCTAGCTTCCATTTCTATCTGTTTTTAGGTAAAACTTTTTTTTCCTTAGACCTCAGATTTTCCTGTTCTTGACCCCAGCTGGACTGCTCAGGAAGAAATGGCCCTTTTAGAAGCCGTGATGGACTGTGGCTTTGGAAATTGGTAAGAGCTTGGTTTATGAGTTCTGTCCTAGTGGGTTCAGAGAAGTTGCTGTTAAAAGATAAAGGGAAGTGTCAGAAAAAGGAGAGCACGTGATGCCTTTCTGTCAACTCCTGGTGTAGAGACACGTTCTCTTCCCCGCCACACATTATTTCCCAGGGTTGAAATGCCTCACAGGGATATGGGGGGCTTAGTGGTCCGTGACTGAGCAGCACTAAAAGGCTATTTTAGATGTATGAAACCAGAAGGTGGGGCCGGCAGCTGGTGTGTTTAGGGCACTGGACTCCCACGTGGTTGACCATGGTTCAAATCCTGGACCTGGCAGCTTACTATCTCACTTCTTACTCTTTCTCTCTCTCACTCTATCCTTCTCTGGTCAAATTAAAATAAATAACTAAATGGATAAATAAAGTTAAAATAATTCTTTAAAAATTAAATAAAATCTTTAAAAAAAATCTGGGAAGGTTCATTGTCTCTTTTTTTTATAGGTATTTTTCTCATTGCCTTTTTTTGAGTATTGGGACATTTAGATTACTAGTGATTGCTCCCTTCTGGTTTTCGAATTTTTCTTGGATGCTCTAGTCCTTTAAGTGAATTAGACTTGGGGTATATGGTCATTGCTTACCTGAGTCTAGCTTCATAGACTTCCTTAATAGCAGTTTCTGTTTTTAGCTTTCAAATACCTACCTTAGTTCATGGCAGAACTGAACAGTACTCATTGCTATTGCCCTCAATAATACCACTACTTATAGGGCATGTGTGCTCACTGGAGAGACAGAGACAATGAGAGCGAAAGATCAATCTCTCTCCACCCCCAAGAGGGCGAGATGGTCACGCCACAATCCTTTCTCCTCCTGGGATGTTGGGCATGCATATATGCCTGGAATGATTTTCAGGTTGCCAGGTCCAGGACTCAAACTGTCATCAGTCCTGTTGGAGTCCAGCACCTTAACCACCATGCCACCTGCTGGCTGTATTAAATATATTTTGTTTACTGAGAATCAGAAGCTTAGGGAATTAAAATTATTTCTCATCATCAGATAGCCTATTAGATCCTTCCTTTCCTGACTTGAGAGTATGTATAATCTACCCTGACGTTTATCAGAATATCTGCACTGCCTTCTTTACTTTTAGGGTTCTGAAGGAGACCTAAGTTCAATTCACATATTGCATATATTCATTCATCCAATATTTGGTTTTGTTCTTTGTCTTGGTTTGTTTTTATTTTTATTTAAGTTTTGCTGCTCCTCTGTGTGTATGTGTGTGTGTGTGTGTGTGAGAGAGAGAGAGAGTGAGAGTGAGAGAGATATCACTTCCTGTGAAATGTGGTTACACTACATCCTTTCTCCTCAATTTTTCCCTCCTGTTGAGATTTTGAGTTGCTGGGGATAGGACTTGAGCTGGCATGGGGCCTGCAGGGAGCATGATGGTTGAGGCGTTGGACTCCCCACATGGCCGACTATGGTTAGAGTCTCAGACTTGCAGCTTGCTTTCTCACTTTCCCTCTCTCTGGTAAACTTAACATGTCCTATAGCAAATTAATAATAATAAATAAAATAAAGTAAATAATTACCTTAAAATGAAAAAAAGGGACCAGCAGATGCCATATGGCTATGTTCCTGGACTTCCATGTAGTTGACCACTATTTGAGTCCCAGACCTGGCAGCTTCAGTCTCAGACCAGATGCATGAGGTGCATGCCCAAAATCCCAAGTGGGGGACCAACAGTTAGTGTAATGGCTATGTCGCTGGACTCCCATGTAGTCAACCACGGTTCTAGTCCCAGACCTGGTGGCTTAAACTGACGCCAGGCACGTGTGCGTGCGTGCCCAAGATCCCAAGTGGAGAATGGAGGAAAAGGGATTGCAGCATGACCATCACCTCTGGGGGGTGATTTCTCGCTTTCTCTCTGTCTCTCTCTGTCCTTCTGGTGAGCGTACGTGTCCAATAAGAAAAAAACCTCTCCAAAAAAGAAAAGAAAAAAATCCCAAGTGGAGGATGAAGAAAAAGAGTTTGCTGCATGGCCATCCCCCCCCAGGGGGGGGATTTCTTGCTTGCTTTCTCTCTGTCTCTTTCTGTCTCTCTCTGGGGAGCGTACGTGCCCTATAAAAATCTCTCTCAAAAAAAAAAAAAAAAAGAGAGAACTGCGCAGTTGGTCATGTGGGATCCAGCCACCACAGCATCAGATGACCCTATTCAGTATTTGTTAAGCATCATAAAATACTCAGTACTATGGGGAATGTGAAAGAAGGCAGAAAATCGGTTACTTATTAGGAGCTTTGGCCTAGTTTTTATTTTTTGCTTGCCATTCTAGCTCAGAGGTGGGCTGATCTTCTCTGTCTGCCTTCCTTAGCAAAGACACAAAAAGTCTTGCTTCTCAGCCCACTGTGGACAAGGCATTAAGCTTGATGGTGAGGGGTCAAAGCTAAGAATTAAGATATACATCCTGCTCTCAAAAAAAAAAAAAAAAATTGGAACCAGCAGATGGTGTAATAGTTATGTCACTGGACTCCTGTGTAGTTGACCACAGTTCAAGTCCTGGACCCAGTGATTTAAGCTCACACTGGGAACATGTGTGTACCTAATATCTGAGAAGGAGATTGGAGGAGAAGGGATTGCGGTGTGACTGTACCCCCTGGGAGGTGATTTCTCACTTTCTGTCCCTCCGTCTCTATCTTTCTGGTGAGCACACGTGCCCTATAGCAAAAACCACTCAAAAAAAAAAAATGTACATCTTGCCCTCAAGAAACTAACAGTCAGTAGGGGAATCAAAGTATGTATGTACTGGGGCCAGTAGTGGCATGCTGGTTAAGGGCACTGGACTCCCACATGACTGACCACAATTCGAGTCCCAAACTTGGTGACTTGTTTTCTCACTTTGCCTCTCTCCTGCACTGTTTTATATATATATATATTGATTGAAAAACACAAAGCAGAGTTCAGTGATGCCTTAAAAGAGGGACAATTGAAGTACCGTGGAAGAGGGCTTGATGATGGAACTTTGAGAGATTTCATCCATACCCCTTAATTACTGAGGATGGGAGTCAGTGATCTTGAGTATACGTTCTAGCTTTGTCATTTTTGAGCTTTGTGTTCTTAAACAAGTTGATTTCTTTCTTTCTTTCTTTCTTTCTTTCTTTCTTTCTTTCTTTCTTTCTTTCTTGGAGTGTTTTTTGCTATAGGGTGCATGCGCTTGCCAGAAAGACAGAGAGAGACAGACAGAAAGTGAGAAGGGATAGCCACACCACAATCCCTTCTCCTCCATTCTCCTCTGAGGATCTTGGGCATGCACACAGATGCACCTGGCAAGAGTTTAAGCCACTGGGTCTGGGACTCGGATTGCGGTCAACTACATGGGAGTCCAGCGACATAACCATTATGCCATCTGCTGGTCCCTCCTTTTTTTTTCCCTGTGAAATTGAGATAGCAATAATATTCATACCACAAAGTTAATACCAGGACTATCCTAAATGTGAGTGGTTCTAATTTGTGCCTGGCAGATCATTGGAGTGCTAATAAATATAAGAACAATTCATTTGAACTGTTTCATAAACTATAAAAATGTGCATACATAAAACTATACTTACGTACATTTTGAATTTTCCGAAGTGGCTTTATATTATTTATAGGAATTTTTGCCATACAGCCAAGCTCACAGACAAATTTACACATTTTCTAGTCATCTACCCTATTTTTTTTTTTTTTGGTAGAAAGGAAAGAACTTTTCAGTTATCCTTCCCATATCCTACAATAGCAGAATTTGGAACATCTGATTACACAGGTATTCTTATTTGTCTCATACCATGGTCTCTCCATGATAGAAATTTGGAGTTACCTGATTATAGACATTACTATTGATTTGACTTATAGTATGGGAAGAACAAACCACGACATTACCAGAAAGCACTACTTCCTCCTCCCGTTTTTGTACACTTTTCTAGGCAGGATGTCGCCAATCAAATGTGCACCAAGACCAAGGAGGAATGTGAGAAACATTACATGAAGCATTTCATCAATAACCCCCTGTTTGCATCTACCCTTGAACCTGAAACAGGCAGAGGAGGCCAAAACTGCTGACACGGCCATTCCATTTCACTGTAAGTGCCTCCTATTCTGACCCTTAGCTCATCCCCAGACCTGTTTCAGTAGCAGATAAACAATGGTTTGATGACTTGGGCAGCTAAAGAGCTGGAGAATGAGTTGGTATGACGGCTATTGAAAGGACCATAATGTGGGAAGGAGGGAACATGTCCCAGTGTTGTAGAGTAGACATTAGGGTGCCTGAAGCCAGTGTGTACTTCCACCCACTCTGAGACCATTAAACATATCAGGTAACTTTAATGCTTGCTTCTTTAAGATGAGCTGTCAAGAAAGGACCAACCTTTCCACACAATTTGTGAATACGAGTCTTTTGCAATCCCTTTGGAAACTTTATGATCATCAATGTGAGTTACTTAAGTGAGTCCAGTATTTGACTCATTATTAATTGCCCTGGTGTCATGTTCAAGAAATAGTTTGTTATTTTTGTTCATTTGGTGGGGCAGTAGTGGTTAGTTTTTAGGTTTTTTTAGGTTTCTGCTATGGGGCAGTACACTTGCCAGAGGTGGAGTGGTGGTGAGAAATCACGCCCCAATGGAGATGGCCATGCCACAATCCCTTCTCCAACTCCTTGGGATTTGGAGAACCCATACACATCCACTCGGCATGATTTTCAATTCACCAGGTCTGGACTTGAACTAGTAAGCCAGTAGGATCCAGCATCTTTCTTTTTGGAGAGGTTTTTGCTATAGGGCGCATGCACCCGCCAGAAAGACAGAGAGAAAGAGACAGAGAGACAGAAAGCGAGAAATCCCCCCCAGGGGGATGGTCACGCTGCATTCCCTTCTCCATTCTCCTCTTGGGATCTTGGGCACACATGCACATGTGCCCAGTGTGAGTTTAAGCCACCGAGTCCGGGACTTGAACCATGGTCGACTACATGAGAGTCCCGCGACAAAGCCATTATGCTAACTACATAGTCCCAGATCCAGCATCTTAACCACCACATCATCTGCTGATTCTAGTAGTGAGCTTTTTAATCTCATGTGCCTGTGGGACCAGTGGGTCTTTTAATAAAACATAACCAAAAGCATGATGAATTATAAATAGGCCTTGTTCCTGAATGACTCTTGGAGCATAAGTAATGAGATTAATCCTCCCTTCTTGTATCCTCTAGAAACAGTACCATTTTATAGCTGACCGGCTCAGGCTGCTGAGACCTCCTATTTGGATAGCACTTTGGATGTTAGCACTTAGTTCTCAAATCCTTTAGACCATTTGTTCCTAACAATGAGCCTGTATTTTAGTTTACACATGAGCAAGTAAGATTCAGAAAGAGTAAATGATTTGTGCAAGGCCATGAGACTACTGTATGTGAGAGCTGGGACTTAATTCCTGCTAACTTTCTTTCATTTTTTTTTGGAGAGGTTTTTGCTATAGGGCACATGCGCTCACCAGACAGACAGAGACAGACAGAGAGACAGAAAGCGAGAAATCACCCCCCGGGGGGATGGCCACACTGCAATCCCTGCTCCTCCATTCTCCTCTTGGGATCTTGGGCACACACGCACACACACCCAGCGTGAGTTTAAGCCACTGGGTCTGGGACTCGAACCACGGTTGACTACATGGGAATCCAGCAACGTAGCCATTACACAATTGCTCATCCCCCCTGCTAACTTTCAAATTGGGTATTTTCCCCTTCTTAGTTAGATGAGGTTTGTAAATTGAAATTGGTCCTATGGATAAGGAAGTAGGAGCTGACAGGGTAAATACTTAAGATTCTGTAATATTCAAAGAAAATATCCTTGGTTTCCTTTCATTTTAGGAAACCAAAAATTAGAGGAAATTTCCCATATTTACTTAGAGGATTTCCTAGGGCTTAATTTTCTTTTTTTTTAGAGAAAGATTTTTGCTATAGGTCGTGTGCACTCACCAGAGAGACAGAAAGTGGTAAATCACCCCCTGAGGGAGATGGTCATGCCACAATCCCTTCTTCTCCATTCTCCTCTCAGGATCTTGGGCACACATGTTCATACACCCAGTGTGAGTTTTAAGCTGCCAGGTCCAGGACTCGAAATGCGGTCAACTATGTGGGAGTCCAGCAACATAACCATTATACCATCTGCTGGTCCCTTAGTTTCCATTTTTAAGAAATTTCTGTAGTATTTTATCTTGTTACTTTTCACACTATAAAAACATTTTAAATTTATTCTCTCAGGTACTGTCCTTCTCCAAACAAACATATTTCGGACTATAAATAAGAACTATTTTTGTATCACTTGTTTATGCCAATATTTCATAAATTGGGGCCAACAGGTGGCATGGTAATTGGTGTGCTGGACTTCCAGTTCAAGTCCTGGACCTGGCAGCTTGCTTTCTTACTTTCCCTCTCTCTCTGGTGAGCTCACATAACAAATATTTTTTAAATAATAAATAAAAAGATTAAGAAAATAAATAATTTTTATAAATTAGCTAAGAAAGTCTCTTAACTTCTTGCAGCCACAGATGACCCTCCTCGACCCACCTTTGATTCCTTGCTCTCTCGGGATATGGCGGGATATATGCCAGCTCGCGCAGATTTCATTGAGGTAAGAGAAACTGGTTTTTAGCACAAGGCATCAAAACCTGTTTTTGTTTCTGATGAGGCTTATGTCTCTTCCCTGTTACGTTTCATCCACTGAAAGGAGATTTTCAAAGCCATGTAGTTTGTAGGGCCTTTAGGCAGTCCATTTTCTTTCATTTGAGTTCCTCTTATCATTTGTAAACATTTTTACTTTTGAAACAGTGAAAGTTCTTCATTTTTTTAAGGATCCATTTTTTTAAGTTGCATTGGTGCTGGCTCCTACTTCTTTAGTAGGTATGGAATTTCTGTAGTCGAATTCTCATTTCACACATGGGGGTTTCATGGTTTAACTTATCAGTGGTTGGCAAAGTTCTCCTATTAAGAGCAAAATAGTAAATATTTTCGATACTATAGACCATAAAGTTTCTGGTGCAACTAAACTTTGCAGTCTGCCCGGCTGAACCTGAAACAAGCAGAGAGGCCATTCTGTTTAAGGCAGCATGGATAATACGTGAACAAATGAGTGTGCCGTGTCCCAGTAAGCTGTATGTGCACACACAGCACTGGGCTGGCTGGTGGTTTGCTGATTCCTATATTGTATCTGCAAGTGTATAAAGAATGATCATTGTGTACAAAAACTATGTTCCGTGTTCAACCATGGAATTAAAAGGCATGTGAATGTAGTCACAGGTCTCTTGATTTATCATCTAATCCACAACTAATGCTACTGCTACTGGAGATAGACTTGAAAGTTTAGTGAATTTCAAACAGTTTTGCTAGCCACATCCAGGCCAGTATTTTGTTCATGGTGGGTGATCTTGTAGAGCTGCCCTGTAGTCAGTACCCCCGCAAATTATAGTCATTGAATGGAATATGAGCAGATCCTACTAATTGAACTGCATAAGCAACATTACTGAATAAATTATACTTCAAATATACTTCAGTATTACCTTCAAAAGGTAATAAAAGGTTATAGGTTTGTTTGTTTCTTTTTTTTTTTTTTAAATACTTAGAGTCCTCATCAAAGTTAGATTTTTGAGCTGGCTCTGTAGTGTATTGGTTAAGGGAGCCAGCTTCCACATGGCCAACTGTGGTTTGAATCCCAGCCTTAACAGCTTGAAAAATAGTCCAGAGCACATGTGCCCCAAATCCCAACAGGGTGAAAAAAATGGAGAAGGGATTGTGGAGTGGCCAGGTCCCTTTGGGGGGATGCATTCTCTCTCTTCCTCTCTTTCTCTCTCTCTGTCTTTGGCAAACACACTCCCTCTGGCAATTAAAAAAAAAAGTTTAGATTTTCTTGGAAATGAACCAAATACTCTTAAGTTTTAGACTAACAGATTTCACTTCATACATGAACTCTTTTTTGTTGTTGTTGTTGTTTTAGAGAAAGATTTTTGCTATAGGGTACATGTACTCACCGGAGATACAGAGAGACAGAAAGCGAGAAATCACCCCCCCAGGGAAGATGACTACGCTGCAAACCTTTCTCCTCCATTCTCCCCTCATGATCTTGCGCATTCAAACATGCACATGCACCCGGTGTGTGTTCGTTTTTTTGTTTTGTTTTGTTTTTTAAGAATTATTTTATTTAACTTTATCTATTTATTTTAATTTGACCAGAGAAGGACAGAGAAAGTGAGAAAGCAAGCCACCAGGTTCGGGACTTGAACCACGTTGGCCATGTGAGAATCTAGCATCCTTAACCACCATGCCATCTGCCGGCCCCCGTGTGTGTTTTTTTAAGTCACTATATCCAAGACTTGAACCATGATTTACTACATGGGAGTTCGGTGATGTAACCATTATGCCATCTGCTGGTTCCCATACCTGAACTCTTATTCCAATTTTTTGTTGTCACTACTTTCTCAAAGCCTCACACATGTCCTCATGACTTGTGGCAATCTCCTAGCCTTTTACCCCATTTAGTTTTTGTTTTCGTTTTTCTTCTTTTTAGATTTTTAAAAAATTATTTAACTTATTTATTTTAATTTGACCAGAGAGGGTGGGGGGGAGGGGTAAAGTGAGAAAGCAAGCTACCAGGTCTGGGGCTCAAACCACAGTCAGCCAGTGCCCTTAACCACCACACCATGTGCCGGCCCCCTTTTTTTAGATTTTTTGCCATAGGGTACATGTGCTGATCAGAGAGAGACAAAGAGAAAGGGAAAATGGGAAATCACCCCTGACGGGGGGGCGTGGGGTCAGGGAGTGGTAGTGGTGGCCATGCTGCAGCCCCTTCTCCATTTTCCCCTCAGGATTTAAGGTGTGCCCAGTGTGTTATTCAGGCCGCCGGTTCTGGGACTCTGACCACATTGTCGGCCATGTGGGAATCCAGTACCTTAACTATCATACAGTCTGCTGGCCCCATTTAGTACTTTTTCTAACAAGTTTTGCTTATATATTTCCTATTTGCACTTAAAGCATGTCTACTATAGGACTGGCCTCATAACACAGTAGTTAAATACTATGCTTTAGGAGCTAAGTTCCGCATGGCCAACCTCAGTTCTAATCCTGGCCCCAGCAGCTTGAAAAACATGCTAGGCATGTATGCAGCATACCCAAAATCCTGGTGGGAAAGAGAAGTGTTGGAAAGGGACTGCAGTGTGACCAGGCCCCACTGAAAAGGCACTTTCTCTCCCTCTCTGCCTCTCTCTTTGGAGAGTGTGCATGACCTCTGGCAATAAAGAAAGAAAAAAGTATGCTTACTGTAAAAGGCATTACTTGAAGCTGATGGGTTTGGGGTTGAGATTTTTTTTTTTCCCCTAAACAGGAGTTTGACAATTATGCTGAATGGGACTTGAGAGACATTGATTTTGTTGAAGATGATTCGGACATTTTACATGGTAACATTTTATTTTATCAAATGTTTATTGAGTACAAACTATGTGATGACATTGTGTTTGTTGAGTTATTAGAAATATAATGATGAGTAAAACATGCCCTCTGCCCTTGTGAAATTCAAACTTAGGGGTTAAGTTGCTGAATTTACTCTGTTAGGTTTTGATCACACCAAATGAGGAAATTTGTGATGACAGTGTGAATTTTGATCATGTAATAGTAATTGGGAATATCCTGTCCCTGGACTACGTGCTCTTCCTTTTCATTGAGTTAAGCCTACACTGTGCTGATGGGTTAATGGTCCTCGTTTGCCTCCTTAGAAGTAAGAAAGGGGCTTGTCGGTAAAATATGGTACTCTATGAGGCAGACTCACCTGGATGGGTCCAAGTGCACATCCAGACACTTCCCTAAGAATGCCAGGTGTACATGTGGCCATAAATCTGGGATGGCTGAAGCTAGGAGTGGATCATGGCATAAAGACCCTTTGGCATTGCAGGTGGACTAGTAGATAAGAGGGTGGTTACGGCACTAGATTCCCACATGGTTAACAGCGGTTTGAGTCCTGAACCCGGTAGCTTGGTGGGGGGAAAAAACACAATAAATAAATAGATAAATAAATAAATGTTAAAAAAAAGAAAAGACGCTTTTGCTGTTTGTCTCTCCCTCTCCCTTAGAAGAAATAAATTCATTTTAAGAAAAGAGATAAGAGAATCAATGTGAAAACCTTAGAACTTTATTAGCAACTGTTGATTCTAAATGTTCACTATAATTTATTACCCCAAATTTCTTTTTTTTGGAGAGGTTTTTGCTGTAGGGTGCATGCACTTGCCAGAAAGACAGAGAGGGACAGAGAGACAGAAAGTGAGAAATCACCCCCCAGGGAGGACGGCCATGCCGCAATCCCTTCTCCATTCTCCTCTCGGGATCTTGGGCACGCATGCACACACGTCCGGCGTGAGTTTTAAGCCACCAGGTCCGGGACGCGAACCATGGTCAACTACATGGGAGTCTAGTGACATAGCCATTACGTTAACTGCTGGTCCCATACTCCAGATTTCTTATAGCAGGAAACAATAATGGAAATCTTTAAGGATTTTTTGGACAAAGTTGTGAATTTCTTGTTTTTCAGAACCACTGAATTTTTTTGGAGGGGGGCAGCTGTAGGGTGCACACATCTGCCAGAGAATGATGGAGGGTGAGTGAGAAATCAGCTCTCTCAGGGAAGATGGCCATACTATAATCCCTTCTCCTCTTTTCTCATTTTGAGAATTTTTTGAGCATGCATACACACATGCCTGGTGTGATTTTCAAGCTGTTTGGCCCATATGGGACCCAGAGCCTTAACCTCCATGCCAGTTGCTGGTCAGAACTGTTGAATTTTAACACTTCTGAATTCTAATCTTTGATCTGTCTCAACATAGAAGAACTATCTACATCAGATCTGGGACCAGAAAGTGTCCTCATGAAAATTTTACCTTTAGAATTTTTCCTTTATATTCTTTCCCTGCCACCGCCGAGGCTTGGGCGCGTTCAAGATTCAGCTCCACCATGGGGACCAGCAGTTAGTGTAATGGCTATGTCGCTGGACTCCCACGTAGTCGACCACGGTTCGCGTCCCGGACCCAGTGGCTTAAACTCACACCGGGCACGTGTGCGTGCGTGCCCAAGATCCCGAGAGGAGAATGGAGGAGAAGGGATTGCGGAGTGGCCATCCCCCCTGGGGGGGGATTTCTCGCTTTCTGTCTCTCTGTTTCTCTCTGTCTGGTGAGCGCACATGCCCTATAGCAAAATCCTCTCAGAAAAAAAAAAAAAGATTCGGCTCCACCTGTAATCCACCGCCATGGCCAAGGAAGGCATTGTTGCTGGAGGTGTAATGAACGTTAATACTGCTTTACAAGGGGTGCTGAAGACTGCCCTCATTCACGATGGCCTAGCACATGGAATTCGCGAAGCCCAAAGCCTTAGACAAGCGCCAAGCCCACCTGTGTGAGCTTGCATCCAACTGTGATGAACCTATGTATGTCAGGGTGGTGGAGGGCCCTTGTGCCAAACACCAAATCAACCTGATGAAGGTCGATGACAAGAAACTAGGAGAATAGGTAGGCCTCTGTGAAACTGACAGAGAGGGAAAACCCCGTAAAGTGGTTGGTTGCAGCTGTGTAGTAGTTAAGGCCTATGGCAAGGAATCTCAGGCCAAGGATGTCATTGAAGAGTACTTCAAATGCAAGAAATGAAAAGATAATAAAAATGGGCTCGCGGAAACAAAAAAAAAAAGAATTTTTCCTTTGTATACGTCTTGAGCAGCTTTCTTTGCAAAATTTCATTCTTTTTCTCTCCCACACAACTTTAAGGAAAGTCATAGTGACGTAGATTGAACTAAAAGAAGAAAGCTTCAAAGCAAATGACTTTAGCATTCACTAGATCCATTGCATTGTATTTGTTCAGTCTTCCATGTCAATCTCTTCTTTTCTACCCCATGACTCATGTTGCCTTTTCTCACCTCTTGATTCCTTGAAGGTGGTGTGTAGCGTGTCATTCAGTATTTCTTCTTATACACAATAGCTTTAATTAAAATGGTATTGTTTCCTGGCTTGTATCTTTTTCACTAGAACACCAGAGTACTATGTGCAAGAAAGGGAAGTGTCATAAGTATCATCATTTTAGAAACTGTTTAACAATACCGAATTTTGGAAAGTCAAATCTCTAATGTCAAGAATGGCTCATCTCTGTAAGCCACTGTATCAACTTTGTGAGTGATTATTGAATCACATCTCCAGGATCTTCATTCTTATGTCTTATCATTATTGAGAAAACTGTAGCTATAGTTGGTATTTGATTTTACTCTTCATTCTTTATAGAAGCAGGATTTGCAGTTTTTTTCTGGTGCACTTGTAGTTCTTTGTATAATTAAGTGGGGAGTAAAGGGCAATCAGAAAGAAGCAATCGATTGACTAGCACTTTTTAGTTCAGCTAGCTTTTCAAACCTGTGACAAACTTTAGCTATTTGTGCTCTTCTTTTCAGTCTCTACAACCTTGTAAACTAGACTTTTATTTGGACTGGAACTGAAGTATCAATTATTCATTCCTTATACATAAGTAGACAACACAACATGAATAATAACTTCCATTTCTCTCTGCCCAGTGGTGAACTACAAGATGTTTAGGTGAATGCTTTTCTTTAATTATGGTCAAAAATAATTCGGTCACCCAAAATAAAATAGTTGTGACTAAATGTGCTTTAAAAAAAAAAAAAAAAAGATGGTGACATTTTAAAGAGGTTTGGCAGCACTGGAGATCAAAGGGACGGCCTGTGAATGCTACAGACATGCTTTTTTATGACTCTTGAGTTCTTCTGGTAGCTACTCTGGCAGGATGGCGCATGTGAGGGGCATACTGCCCTGAGCAGTCTCCCAGGACAGCCACGAAAGGGAAGTAGGAGACTCAGGAAGGAAATGAGAAGGAGCTTTCTCAGTGCACCTGGAACAGAGAGAGGAGTAAAGAAGGAGCCACGAAAGTCCAGGGAGACTCAGGAAGGAATGAGAAGGAGCTTTCTCAGTACACCTGGAACAGAGAGAGGAGTATAGATTTTTTTTTTTCCCTTAAAGAATTACTTATGGGGCCAGCAGGTGGCATGGTGGTTAAGGGCGCTGGACTCCCACATTGCCGACTATGGCTCAAGTTCTGGGCCTGGCGGTTTGCTTTCTCTCTCTCTCTCTCTCTCTCTCTCCCCCTCTCTGGTCAAATTAAAATAAGTAAATAAGTAAGTAAATAAATAAATAAAGTTAAATAAAATATTTTTTTAAAAGAGAAAAAGAATTATTTAATTCCATTTGTTGTTGTTGTTGTTGTTATTATTATTATTTTGATCAAACAGAGACAGAGAGAAAGGAAAGAACAAGAAAACAAGCCACCAGGTCTGGGACTTGAACCATGGTCAGATGTGGGAATCCAGCACCTACAACCATCATGCCACCTGCCGGCCCCCGGAGTACAGATTTTGTAGAAATCAGGGCACTGATTCAACTTTAGGCTTGCCTTTGAATCACTGTGTAATGTTGGGTAAGTTTCGGAACCTTCCTGTTGTTTCTTTGTGTCCTCTGCCACTAAAGAAGGGGTGACCCTGATTAGTCAGAGTGTATTTGTCTCCAGTGAGAGATGGTACGTAATTCTGACTGGTGTTATTATTATCCCATTATATCATTATATTCTTAATATTACTGAGCATTAACATTCCTTTTGTGTTCCCTCACTTATAACTATTTGAAGGAGTCAGACCAGCTAGATTTTGTATTCAGAACCTATCTAGAATATCAGATGATTCCACCAAGCCCTTTTTTTCACCCAAACAAAGACTTTTGCTTTGATTCATGGAACTTAACTAAAGAAACTGGTTTGCATGGTTCATTATAGAGGCCTGGAACATGATGGGGGGATAATTAATTGCATTCCAGCCATACCATCAGTCACAAAAGGGATATTACAAGTGAAACGTTTTCTTCTGAGGAAGGAAACCAGAAAGTTCTAGGATCCCTAAATGGCATCCACTCATATTTTACTGAAATAAGCAGAAATAATTGGTTCATAAAGGGACATGCAGAAGACTCACGACTTAGAACTTTGCTGTCTCATGGTAAGTTGTGAGATCTCAGTGCAGATGCTTAGAGTAGTTTCCCTCTTGTTGACATCTGTCCTCATCTTTTGTTTGTAAAAATCTCTCCCAAGTTTGGGGCCAGCAGTTAGCGTAATGGCTATGTTGCTGGACTCCCACGTAGTCAACCACGGTTCACGTCCCAGACCCGGTGGCTTAGACTCACGCCGGGCACGTGTGCGTGCGTGCCCAGGATCCCGAGAGGAGAATGGAGGAGAGGGGATTGCGGCGTGGCCATTCCCTCTGGGGGGTGATTTCTCGCTTTCTATCTGTCTCTCTCTGTCTGGCAAGCGCACGCGCCCTATAGCAAAAACCTCTTCAAAAAAAAAAAAAAATCTCTCCCAAGTTTGTGGTCTC